CAATCAACTAAATATAGCAATTTAGTATGGATGTACTTAACAACATCAAAATCGCCAATAGCCAAAACCACAAGTTAACAAGGTAAACATGATTGTCAACTTGGAATTGAATGCGAAAACAAATAGTGGAAGACTTGGACATCACGTCTCGGATTTCCGCCGAGAACAAAATGGTTGTTCCGGGCACTAACCCGCAGGGAAAACCACCCTAAGTGCGCACTATCTCAATTGGGGAGAACTCAGACCTCCCACACTAAAGCCGAAATTTAGCCATATCACATGTAAGAACAATGTCCCAAGACTCCAAAATAAATCAAATAAGTTCATAACTTATACACATTATTACTACATAGTAACAAATTAGCAATATGACTCTCAATTATGCATAATAAGCTTTTCATATCCATAATGTTATGAAATCACAAGCCAACAGTACATTCATATTAGAAACATACTCTCATGAATATAAATTTAACAACAATGCCCTTTAATGCATATAACATAATCAAGTGAATACATCACAAGTCTAAATCCATGCTCTTAAATTAGAAACAATTTCTAAAACATGATTAGATCCATGGATAAACAAGATAGAATTTAATTACATCATAATAATTAAACTCTTTAGATTTCAAATCATTTCCAAATGGCTTCTATTTAATATATGTTAATAGACATATCATGGTCATTACATATATTCACACACAAGCTTAATTATGCCTATGAAACCACCAAAATAGATTTTAATAAATCCCTTAATTAAAGTCTCTAGATTTCCAAACTCAACCAAATGCTCTCAAATTAAAGCATGTTAACAAACATGCCAAGACTTAATTTAGAAGTATAATACAACTCAATTCCATACAAGGTATGGCCATGAACTTAAATCTTTCATAAAAGATAAATATTAATTAAAAAGAACAATTCTTATTTAATTAATCCAAATTTAATATATGTTAACCAACATGTTAAAACTTGATTTTCTACCATGCCACAATTCAAATCAAAGTTATATATCATCATGAATTTTAAATCTTACACAAAGAATTAAAAATTTTTAACCTTCTAGATTTGATACAAGGCACATATATAAGTTGTATAATCATGTTAAACATTCAATACAACACACATAAAAGCCTAAAACATTCCCTACGTCCATTTGAGATGAAATCTCAAATCCCTACCAAAATAAATCGGCTCCGAATCCGACGAAACTCCTAGGTTTTATCGGGGACAACAGCACGAACATGAATCCCAAGGAAGCCCCATCAAAAACACAACTTGACTACAAACCCAAACTCAAGAAATGGCCAAAACGAGATTCCAATTGGCTGGAATCGAAGGCCTCGCCGAGGGGAACAATAAACACAAAGGCATCACCACTTTTTAATGAAGGGAAGAAGTCCAAAAGAGGAGAGAGAAGATGGCAGCCATGGGTGGAGCTTGGATCGGCCATGAGAGAGGAGAGAGAGAAAAAAATCTGATTTTTCACTTAAAGGCCCCCTATTTATAGAAAAACTCAAAAAGTGCACCGAACGGGCCCCGCCGGGTTCGGAAAAGTAAAATCTAAGTAGACGCGCTCAAATGGAAAAACTCTATGAATGAAAAATATTCCAAATGAGAAAATATGAATAAAGGAAGAAACGGCGTCAAAAACTGAGTCCCGACCACAGAGTTATGCCTAAAACAAGTTTGGCGCAAACTGGGGCCAAAAACCCTAAAACTGGAAAACATCGTCCAGGAGGAAATTGTAAGAGTCCACGACTCGACGAAATGTGAAAATGAATCCCATACGAGGATCCAGGCTCAAAACAAGGCATTGAGCAATAACTTTCATTAATTGCACAATGGCCCCTCCAAAAAGTGAAAACTGCGAAACTGCCCCAGAATGAAAATATCTTCCAGAAAATATTTTCTTAGATACCCCTGAAATAAAATATCTTCAAAAGATATTTATGAAAAACACCCCAAAAAAAGAAAAAGCTTCCAAAGAACTTTGCACTTATGCCCCTATGGGCACCGAGAGCAACTAGAGTACTTTCTCACGAAAGTAAAGATACGTATCTCATAGAAATCATTGAGAATGAAGATACATGATGTCAGAATTTGAACACAAGAAGTGTGGTTACGCAGACAGAATGATAAACGAGGAAAGGACAAAATAGGGAAAAAGACAAAATAGGGAAAAGACAAAGAGTGAATAGTGTCGAAAAATGAAAAGTACGGAATTGACTCGGTCCTTAAAGGAAGTTGTTAATCCACAGAAAAGAGTCTTAGAAATCACTCCAGAGCACTCGAGACGACACTAATCGACAAGAAACCAAACTCAGAAGGGAAAAGACAATGGAAAAAATTTATCCGAAAAATCCGGGTCATTACAAACCCAAATGCAAAGGAATAGCTTGAAGCTATCCTTATTTTAGTCCATTTCTCCTCCTTTTTGATATTGAAGGTTAAAAGGTGAGTACGACTAACAATATAAGTTTAGAAGGAAGGAGGAACAACCCTAAGAAGAGCTCGAAGGGTTGAGAATCGCTGAGGTAGAAGAGGTTTGGTCATGATGTCTACAAGTTGATCTTCAGTAGGCAAAAAAGTAATATCAATCAGACCTTTTTGAACTTTATCTCTAAGAAATCGATACCTGATGTTAATGTGTTTGCTATTCCAATGCAGTGTGGGATTCTTACTAATAGCAATAGCACTTTGATTATCATAGAAAAGCTTGGGAGGTCCTGAGAATTGAATGCCAAGATCTGAGAGAGTAGTCTTCATCCAAAGTAATTGCGAACCAACTTATGAGGCAGCTATATACTCAACTTCAAAGGTTGAAAGAGAGACAGTGTCCTGCTTTTTACTCAGCCACAAGACCATATTTGAACCCAGAGTGTAGCAACAACCAGAGGTACTTTTTTTGTTAGGTAAAGATCCACCCTAATCAGTATCTGAGAAGGCTACAATAGACATTAAGGGTGAGTAAATGTAGAATAGACTATATAAGATGGTGCCCTTGACATCTCTGAGGATTCTTTTGGTAGCTTGAAGATGAGAAACCTTTGGATTACTTTGAAATCTGGCCACTAACCCCACTAAATACATTATACCAGGCCTTGAAGCAGTAAGATACAACAAACTACCAATGATTAACCTGTAAAGAGTTGAAGGAACAGCTACAGTGGTGCACTCCAGTGAGAGTTTGGTATTAGGACATAGTGGTGTTGAGACAGCCTTACAATCATCCATTTTAAACTTTTAAAGTAGTTCCGAGGCATACTTTTGCTGAAAGATGAAGATTCCAAAGGATATTTGTGTAATTTGCAGGCCTAGAAAGTATCTGAGAGTCCCCAAGAGTGACATTTCAAACCTTGTCTTCATGAGATTAACAAATTCTGAAGCTAATGAGGTTTCCGGGCCATAAAACATGATATCATCAGCATAGATTTGCAGAATTAGAAGCTGTTCTTGATGAGTTTTTACATAAAGAGTATTATCAACCTTGCCTCTGTGAAATCCTTGATCAACTAAGAACTGATGCAGCTTTTCATACCAGGCTCTGGGGGCTTGTTTAAGACCATATAAAGCCTTACTTAGTTTAAACACATGAGAAGGATACTTTGAATCTTTAAAACCTTCAGGCTGTTCTAGGTAAACTTCTTCATTTAAATCTCTATTTAGGAAGGCTGACTTAACATCCATTTGATATACCTTGACTTGTTTGTGACAAACAAAAGATAAAAGCATTTTAATGGATTCCATTCTAGCAAATAGAGCAAAAGTTTCATCATAATCAATTCTAACTTGCTGAGCATAACCTTTACACACCAATTTTGCCTTATTTCTTATTACTGATCCCTTCTCATTTATCTTGTTTTTGTAAATCCACTTTGAACCTATCACATTCTTGTCTTCAGGTCTGGGAACGAGTGTCCATATATCATTCTTATGAATTTGATCAAGTTCCTCTTGCATTGCAGCTAACCAGTCTTTACTTTTCTGAGCTTCAAAATAGGACTTTGGTTCAATGGATGATAACATAGCAAAGTGACTGTATTCTTCACCATCTTCAGCATTTAAATCATTTAGCTTCCTTTTGTTTCTTATTTGAACCCCAGCTTGAGATGAGCCAATGATGTTCTTAGCTTGAACCTACTTTTGCAGCACTGGATAGGTGATTTCTCTTGGGTTTTCTTGTTTAGGAACTGAGGTATTGGCTTTATTTGAACCAGATGTGTTGTTACTGTCTTCAATAAGTGTTGATTGAGGATTTTTATCAAATTTCACATTGATTGACTCAACTACCTTCGAAGACCTGAGATTGTAGCATCTATAAGCCTTGCTTTTTGTAGAATATCCCAAGAATATGCCTTCATCAGCCTTTGAATCAAAATTTCCCAAACTGTCAGTGTGGTTTAGTACATAACACTTGCTGTCGAACACCTTGAAGTAGTGAACAGTTGTAGGTCTTCCATACCACAATTCATAAGGTGTTTTGGTTGAATTAGGTCTGAGAAGAACCCTATTTATAATGTGCACAGCCGTACTCATAGCTTCAGCACAAAAATCCTTTGCTAGACCTTTTTTTAGAAGCATTATTCTACCCATTTCCTGAACTGTCCTGTTCTTCCTATCTACAAACCCGTTTTGTTAAGAAGTAGCAATAGCTGAGAACTCTTTCTTGATACCTTTGTCATCACAGTAGTGCTCAAACTCCTTCATGATGAATTCTAAGCCGAAGTCAGACCTAAGTCTCTTCATAGTGCTACTTCTTTCATTTTTAACAAGATTTACAAACTTAATGAAGTGTGTAATGGCCTCAGATTTTTTTTTTCAAGAAGTAATTAAACCCACACCATCCTACTAAAATCATCAATAAGAAGTATGAAATACTTACTTCCACCAACACTGGTGGTTCTAGTAGGGCCACAAAGATCCATATGTATCAAGTCAAGAGCTTTTGGAGAGTTGGTTTCCTTGGAGGGAAATGAGACTTTGGTTTGTTTTCCTTACTGACAAGCTCTGCAGAGATGATCTTCTTTGAAGTTAATATCGGGCAGACCTTTGACAACTTTTAGTTTGAGGAGTTTAGACAAATTTCTTGAGTGCAGATGTCCTAATCTTTTGTGCCATAGCTTAGCTTTATCACAAGTTGTCAGATTGCATTGAGTATTCTGAGTTTCTTCACTAACAGTATAAACCTTTCCTGAGGATCTATATGCCGAGAAGAGGACTTGTTTGGATTTGAGATCAACCACACTGCACTTCTTTTTATTGAAACATACTTCTTTTCCATTATCACACAGTTGGCTAACACTGAGAAGATTGTGTTTGAGCCCTTCAACAAGTAGAACTTCATGAATCTCAGGTAATTCTTCAGACTTATTTACAGTTCCAATACCAATGATTTTTGCCTTTTGATTGTCTCTGAAGATAACATTTATCCTGTCAAACTGCTTCAAAGAAGCAAATTTGGATTCATCACCCGTCATGTGTCTAAAGTAGCCACTATCAATATACCATTTGTCCTGAGTGTTACAAGCACTAAAAGCTACATACACTAGAAGGCTCGCAGAGTTTAATTTCTTCGGAATCCACATCATTTTAGTCTTTAACAATGATCCTTTCTCCTTGACCTTCTGTGCTGAAGCTAAGTCTGACTTCTTGACATACATTCTAGTTATCTTGTAGTTCCTTATAGCTGTGGTAATAAACTCTCTCTTATTGAAGCTTAGAGCACTGCAGGTGTTATTAAGTAACTCAACCTTGAACCTCCGATGCTTTATGATAGGAAACCTTGCATACACTTCACCAGTTGTGGCTTTGACAAATACAGAGTGAGTTTGATTGACCTTTGTTGTTGAATCACACACATAGCCAATTCTAATATTCCCAATTTTCTTTGTGGATTGTTTCTAGATTTTAGCCATCTTTAGGGATCTTTCTTCGAGAATGAGAGACAGTTCTTCTTTACACTTCTTGGTAGACCACTGAGTGTTGACTTGAGATTTCAATAGGCTTTGATAGATAAGAAAAACTGAACACAACATTGACAGTTTAAGTTTAAAGTGTTTAGTGAGAATTTGTTTGGACTTTAACAATTCAAAGCTGAGCCTTTTTATCTGAGCCTTCTGTTGATCACACTTCACTACAAGCCTTTCACACTCTTCAAGAATTTCCTCAATCTTAGTGTCACTATCTTCTTCAACTTGAACTGGAGTTTGTGGTGCTTTAAGAATTGCCATAAAGAGACATTCATCTTGTGTCTCCTCAGGTTTTTCTTCTTCAGGAGTTGCATTCCAGTCTGAGATGAGTGTTTTTCTACCGAACCTTCCTTTGTAGTTTCCTCCCTTATTCTTCTTCTGGCTTTGCCCCTTTGAGTTCGGACAATTAGATACAACGTGACCAGATTTACCACAACCATAACAGGTTACATTTTGTAGCTAATTCTTCTTTTTAAACCTAACTTTTTGAATTTCTTGGCAAGGTAGGCTACCTCATAATGACCCTGGTTTTTAGGCTAGCGTGTCCTATGATGAACCAAAGATTGACCCGATAACGGATCCGATATGCGGAAGCGAAAACAGAAAATAAGACTCTAAGAAGTCAAAGTGACCTTCCATGAGGTCGTGGAACTCAACAAGAACTAATGCGGAAGCAAAAGATCGAAAATATGACAAATAAGCCCCCGGGGCAAAATAGTCATTTCTAAAAACTATAGATTCGGGTGCCACCGAGCACACCGCTGGAAAGCTAACGAAAAACTAATCAAGATGGACTCAAGAATCGTATGATTCGGAGTCCGGACGAAAGAGAAACGGCATTACGATGAAAAATAAACACTTAAAGCTTTAAGGGAAAACTGGTAATTATTCAGAAATATCCAGGTATAACCGAGCACACCGTTGGATAGATGACGAAAAATTAGTCAAGTTCAAAAAAAAAAATTCACTTGAATCAGAGTCCGGACGAAGGAGAAAAGCCCAAAAGAAGAATTAACGTTGCGGCGGCCCGACGAGGGGCGATGACAGCCCCATGTGCATGCCCATGTGCACGCCCATGCACGCCACGCTCGCGCTGGGTGCACCATGGCTGGCAGCAGCCCATAAAGCTGCTGTGTGGTTTTTTTTTTCAGAAAAATCCAGAACAGAGGCTGAATTTGGAGGCCTAGATGAATTTTTTTGCAAAAACCCCCTACAAAATTGAGTTTTCTACGTGACTCGTGAGAGAATTCAAAAAAAACTCACTGCAAAATGGCCAAAATGCTCTCCCAAGAAATCTGGTCAAAAGAGCTAAAAAGTTGCTAAAATGAAACTGAAAGTTGAAACTTCACGAGGGATTTCCGGTATCAAGATGATGTTTTTTGGAAAAACACGAAAAAGAAACCCCCACCCCCCCTCCCCCCAAAATCACGTTTTCTAATCAACCATGTCTAAAGAAGAAAATAAAACTGATGTGAAAGGTCTAGAATACCCCTAGATCAGATTATGCAACAAAACCTCAAAATGAGTCCATAGGAAGCTCAAAACACAAACGAAAGGGTTTTTCATGGAAACAATCATGCACGCAGATGTAACTAGTGATTTTGAGCGAGCGGGAATGCTCCGCGACTCCCGGAAATGGCCGAGTCAAAATCCGACCCCCCAACGGCCAAAAAGGCAAAAATGAACTTGAAATGGGAAAAATAAAAACCAAAATTAGGAAATGGTTTCAAATGACCATTTAGCCCTTGGCCACACTTCATGCAAGATAAATGAGACCTAGTGGAGGTGCCGGAACACACTTTACACCACCCGATTTGAAAATGAACCCTTAAAGGGTCAGTTTCCACTATTTAGCCCAAAAATGCAATATGTGAACTAATATGCAAAAATGAAAAGTAAATGGTGTTTGGCCCTTGGCCACACATCACATATGGCAAATGAATACTAAAGGATGAATTACATACACAATGTACACACTGGTGCGAAAATGACATATCAAAACCCTAATTTTCATACTTTTCTCATTAAAGGCAAAATTCTACATTTTTTCCTAATACATGGATTACAAATGAAGTTTGGCCCTTGGCCACATATTATACACATAGAATGAATACCAAAAAGTGTACTTAAGCACATAATACAAGTTTTATCAAAATAAACAAAAGTAAACATGATATGCTAATATGTGCATATTTAATGTCATCAAAAATACTTTAAGACTTCTAGCCTGTCTAAGAGAGTTGTGTATCCCATAACAAAGCTTCTTTACTTGTAAAACACCCAGTAACTTCGGGGTGAATAAACAAGACTAACAAGTTTATTCGTAGGGGATGAGCATGCATGACGCGATTTCTTTAAGATTTTTAGGACTAATATGAATCATTTCAAAAAGGATCATGCCACTTAACATCTATGTCAAGGATTAGACTCAGGGATCATCCTAAGCTACCATGGAGTAATAGTAACAAGAATCATGATATATATACATATATGAAACAAGTCCAGATTGGGATAATCCAAAAACACGGTGAGAAGGATACTTAAAATCACGAATGAGGTATAATATCTATACAAACAACAAGATGGATACATTCAAATGAACACGACAAGAATAACGCATGGAATCAAGAACAAGGCATAATGTTTATGCAAGTAAACAAGATTGGGATATTCCAATTAACACGACGTGAAGTATACTTGAAATCAAGGACAAAGCATATAATCTATGCGATTAAATAAGGACGAAACATTTCATATAACACGAAAAGAGGTTATACCTGAAATCAAAAACAAGGCATAATATCTATGCAATCTAACATGATTGGAACATTCTAAGTAACACGATAAGGAAAATACATGAATCCAAGAACAAGGCATAATATCTATGCAGTTTAGCAAGATTGGATCATTTCACATACACAACAAGTTTAAATCTTCAAGGAATAGCAACTTGAAATTTAAAGAGTGAAATAAACCAATGTGGAAACTCGGATATCGCTCGGATTAAAACTGTACTCTTGAGATCACTTTAGGGCTACTAACCCATGGGTACCTTTCCCCTAGTGCGTACTATAGTGTAGGAGGACAATCCCCCGTACTAGAACCAAGTCCTAGCCATGACAATTCTTGATTGATATCCCAAGTTCCAAAATCAACAAGTTGTGCAAGTCAAGATTGTATCAAAATACAAGAAATGCATTAACCACATATCATGCACAACCAAGATTTTGGAACACACAAGTCATGCCCTAAGTTCATCAACTATCATGGCATGTAAAATGTCAAGAAATTATAGTGTGCAACTATATAGCCAACAACTAAGATACATAACACATGGAGTTCATTGTAAGTAAATGTACCACAAGTATTAGATACATGATTTAATTACTTTCTAAGCAACACATGTAATTAAACCATTCCAAGACAAATGTGCATGTTTGTTAAGTACATTAATGAGATCAAGATACAAGTGTTCACGATGCTTGACAAAAGAATAAAGTCCATGGAATTCAAGTTAAATTCACAAGTCTAACAAGAATTCACTAACAAGGCATGATTAACTTGATGGAAGCATATAAGGAAATTTAATCTACTCAAGGATTAAATTATCAAGATTTCAAGGTGAGTCAAAATGTTCTATGAACAAGTTATTTCAAGGATCATGTCAAGGCCAAGTTCATTGTCAAGTTACAAATCCATCACATACAAGATGCAACCATGTGAATTAAATTCCATACAAGGGAATTAATTAAATATAAGTTTGAAGACTTATCCGATTATTCTTGATTTGATACACGTGAAAGAACTTGCCAAGGAAATCATGAATATAAGGTTAGAAACTTAATCTAGCTCATGAAACCATTGAATGGATTTTAATTATTTCATTTAATTAAAATCTCTAGATTTTGAAACTTGTCTAAATGATTTCAAATTAATGTATGTTATTAAACATGTCAAGACTTGATTTAAGAGCATGATACAAGTACATTCTATGCAAATTACGGCCATGTGTATTAAACTTTAATACTTGAAAAATAATAATTGAAAGGTTTCAAAACCTAATAAAATATTCTAGGTTTAATATATATGAAACTACATGCCATGCACATCAAGAATTTCATGTCAGAATTCCAACGGGATGAATAGTACACTTGGAGCAATTTAATTAATCTAATTAATTAAATATTACTAGATTTCAAAACTTCTCTGATTACTCTCAAATTAATCTATGTTGAAGAGCATGCTAAGGCCTAATATAATATGCTATCACATATTGATTTAAAGCTAGATAAGGCCACATGATTTAATATTTTATTCAAGATAAATATTAAATAAAATCTTCATTACTTGTCCAAATGATCTAGATTTAATATATGTCAATCTACATATCAAGGGGTAATATTCTATCATGCCACATGATTAAACAAAGCTATGGACAGCTGGGAAAATTAAATCCTTCATAAGAAAAATAAATAATAAAATCTCTAGATTTTGTGATTCAAGCATGCAATCAAGTTGTCTAAGCATCACAAGCATGTAATATAGCAAGAAAGTAAATTATAACACCCCCTACCTCAATTTGAGATGGAAGCCTCAAATCCCCACTGAAAAAAAAGTGTTCTGAATCAGCCGAAATCGAAGGGTTTTGTCGGGGACTATACGATCTACATGAATCCCCAAGAAGCCCCATGAAAATCCAAACTTGGCCTCAAACCCAAACTCAAATTTTGGTCAGAAATGAATTCTAATAAGGGGTAATGGTAGAGCACGACGAGGCAAACAACAAATGTTAAGGCCGAAGGATTTTCACTTAGGAATACAAGTGGATGAGAAGGTCAAAGGGTGGCAGCCAAGGAGCTCCTATGGCTGCCGGCCAAGGAGAGGAAGAAGATGAAGAAAATTATGATTTTCTTCTTTAAGGCACCTATTTATATTAAGTCTCAAAAAGTGCCCCGCCGGGTCCGGAAAGTGGAATTTGAACAAACGCGCTCAAATGGCAAAACTCTATGAACAAAAAAGATTCAAGATGAGAAAATATGAATAACAGAAGAAATGGGGTCAAAAATTAAGTCCCGACCAGAAAGTTATGCCCCAAACAAGTTCGGCGGCAACTGGGTCCAGAAACTCTAAAACTGGAGAAAAATGACTAGAACGGAATTCTAAGAGTACACGACTCGACGAAATGTGAAAATGAATCCCGTACGAGGATCCAGGCTCCAGACGAAGTATTTTCCAATAACTTTCGTTACTTGCACAATGACCCCTACAAAAAGGGTTAACTGCGAAACTGCCCTAGAATGAAAATATCTTCCAAAAGATATTTTCTTAGATGCCCCTGAAATAAAATATCTTCAAAAGATATTTACAAAAAACACCTTAAGAAAAGAAAATAATTTCATAGAACTATGCATCCATACCCCTATGGACACCGGGAGCAACTAGAGTACTTTCTTGCAAAAGTAAAGATACGTATTTCGAGGAAACCACTCAAGATGAAGGCACATGAATTCAAAAACTAACTCCGAGCACGAAAAGTGAGGTTGTGCCAAAAATGTGACAAATGGGGAAAAGACAGAAAAGGGAAAAAGACGAAACAGGGAAAAGGACGAAAGGCGCATAGTGTCCGAAAAGTGAAAATGCAAAAATGACTTGGTCCTCAAAGGAAGTTGTCAATTCACATGAAAAAGTCTTAAAAACCAATTCCGAGCACTCGAGATGACATTAAGCGACACGAAACAGAGTTCAGAAAAGAAAATTAAACGAAAAAAATTCATTCGTAAAATTTCAAGAAAAAGGAAAGGGAGGCAAATGACTGGGTCATTACACCTCATCTTCTTCAAGATCATCTTTAGACTTTGCTTTAGTTTCTTCAACAAATTCCTTTGCTTTAAGTGCAGCTTCTCTTCTATGTACAGCTAGAACACCAATTCTCATTTCATAGGCAGTAAGAGAGGCCTGAAGCTCATCAATCTTCACTTCAGAAAGATCTTTGTCTTCGAGAATTATCATTTAGGATTGAATATAGAAGTGAGTGACCTTAGTATCTTCTTACAAACATCAACATCCTTAATATCTTCACCAAGAGCTCTAATATTATTGATAAGGTCATTGATTCTGAACATATACTCAGCAACAGTTTCTATTTCTTCCATCTTATAGACCTCATACTGAACTTTGAATAGCTATATCTTGTTTTCCTTAATAACCTTATTTCCCTCATGAGCTGCCTGAAGAGAATCCCACATTTCCTTGGCTGTTTTATAATTTTTAACTTTGGTAAACTCTTGTTGACTCAAGGCACAGAAGAGAACATGTTTGGTCTTGCCATCATTAGCTATAGCCAATTTATCTTCAGCAGAGGGGTTATCAGGATTAAAAATCACAACACCATGTACGGTAGTATGCCAAACATCATATGACTGAAACATTAAGAAGGCTTCAATTTTAGTTTTCCAAGAATCATAGTTTGAACCTTTAAACCTTGGAGCTTTGTTGATAACTTAACCTTCATCCATTGCTGGGATCAACTGCAGGCTTGTTAGAACCTCACAATGCAGACCAAAGCTCTGATACCAATTGTTGAACTAAGAGGGGGAAGGGGGTAAATTGGTTAAAACTTTGCTTTCAAAAACTTTCTCACATACAAAGTAAGCATTCAAAGAATAGATAACACAAGATTTACAAGGAAACCCTCTTAATTAGGGAAAAACCTTGGTTCTTGGCTTCGGCCAATAAGCAATCCACTAGTTGTATGTATCTTGTTACACACTCAGCTGTCTCGCTCTCTACACACACCCATGCACCAGAATAGACACTAGTTTTCACAACCAATACACACATATTAGAACACCACAACACATGCACGCACTCCCCCTGTTCGAAGCAACCACACTTAGACCCAATAAGCTCTCAGTAGCTTAACCAACAATGGGGTGAGGGATCATGCCTCACTACCATTTATAATAAGTGTCAACACACCAAATACAAGAAGTTTCTACAACAATTAGAATTGGCTGGACAATACAGAATTCCAAGTTACTGCCTCAGAACTGTAATCTGCTGCATCCATGGTCTGAGGGGTAAAATGGGAAATTCCTTTTGAGATTAATTCACCAGCGTCTCATACAGTCTTCTTTCACTGTTGTACTCATGTTCATAGCTTTGCATAATCAAACACAGCATGAGTATATCACAAAGTTCAGTCAAAGTTCTTGGTTCAAAATATAACAGCTTCAGCACAAAAAACTTTGGCACAGTAAGCTTCGGCACAGACAGCTTTGGCACAGAATAACCTCAGCACAGATTAACTTTAGTACAAAACAGCTTCGGCACAGAATACTCAAAATCAAAGCATATCATATTCTTATTACAAACTCAACTTTAACAATCTTGATTCATCAAAATATACTAGCTAGCAGCATAGATCATCAAGAAATAGCTAAGTATAATCAAATAGCACTTGAATCCAAGATTTCCTTAGAAAGATAAGCTTAACTAGTGACCACACTGTCCAGATTAATTTTCAGCATATTCTCAACACAAATACAGTCTGAACAAGTGTAAGAAAATGAATTATACCTGTGTCAACCTTCAGAATCGACCACAATAGCTTAAAACAGCAAGTCACTACTCAATTCAGCCCTTTCATCAGCAACTTTGACAGCAATCCATACACACCTCAGAGTTGATTCAATGAGTTTTTCTCACAAAGATGATCATCAAATTGTAGAGAAAAACTTGCTTGACATAGTATACTGGAGAGTTCTCATCAACAACTCAATATGCAATGTAAATTCAAGAGGCTTCAGCAACAGCTCAATATGCAATGTAAATTCAAAGGGCCTTATAGCAGCATATTTATAATGACTCTGAATTACACAAGGCCTTACACACCATGGATATACGCCTGTCACCGCTAGCCAATGATTGAGAGAGCATATTTCAAATATTTTCAGAGTAATGGACCAATGTAGGCCTGCCACCTCAGCTGATTTTGTCACTATTCTACCAGTTACAGTAGGTTACAAGTTTAAGTACTGAATTTATATTTTTGTCCAAACTTAGCCTTTAAGGAATGAAATATTCTTGCATATACCAGCACTCTAGGACTATTGAGATGTGTCACATTCTTCTCTAGGACCACTGAAACGTGTCACATTCTTGAGTGTAGCAGGAAAAGGCCATACTGAGCAATCGTATATATATATGGAATACACCTGAGAAAAGATCATAGAGCCCCTGTGAGCACCTGTAGCTAACACCCAAGTGCTAAACCATCTCTGTTTGAGGCTGAAGCATCTCTATCCGAGGCTGAAGCATTGCAATATTCTATTAACTGAAGTGCTGAACCTTCAATGTCCGATGCTGAGCATTGCAATCTACTATTAATTGAAGTGTTGAATCTTCAATGTCCGAGGCTGAGCATAGCAATGTCCGAGGCTGAGCATTGCAGTGTACTATTACTGACCCGAGGTTGAAGCATTACTTTTGGACATTAAAAGGAAAACATTCCGTAAAGTAACTTAGGACCAACAATAATATTATAGCATTAAATTTATTTTTTCAAAAAAAAAAAAAATGTAATTACAAAATCATCCGTCGTATCTTGAAAGTGTCCAAATTGTACTCCTATAGTGTCCATACCGTATCCCAATCGTGTCCAATCAGAAAATAATATATATTTTTAAATTTTCAAGATACTAACCATATTGGACACGTGTCCAAATGCAAGGACAAAGCTAGAAATTTTCTGGCATATTATATATTTATAGAATAAATGTTTTAGAATATATATAAAGGGAGAGATTGATGGATATATAGAGAGAGATTGATATTTTTGGGACGAAGTAAATTAATTAATTATATATATGAAATATAAGGAAAAAATTTAGGGAAACAATATAAGGAAGAGAAAATCCAAGTGAGCATTTTACACATTTTCAAAAAATATATAGAGAGTATATGGTAATATATATATAATATAAGGGAGGGAGAAAAAGTCGAGGGTACCCCCGAGAATGAATTCCGTCCGTCTTTGTCTGAGTGTCTAATATCGTCACGACACTTTAAGAGAAGTATTTGTATTTCTTATGTTTTCACACTGATATTGTCCATTTCACGCTCTTTTGAGAATTACAGCTTTAAAACATGTTTCTTTTTGTTAGAGAGTGCAAAAAAAAACCATTAACTCGAAAAACCAAACCAGACCAGATGAATTGGGCTGTTTGGGTCGATTCCTTAGCGATCCTGTGACTACCCTAGTTTTTAGACCAGCGTGTCCTGTGATGAACCATAAGGATGATCCGATAACGGATCCGAATACGGAAGCAAAAACAGAAAATAAGACTTTAAGAAGTCAAAGTGACCTTCTATGAGGTCGTGGAACTCAATAAGAATTGATGCGGAAGCAAAAGATCGAAAATATGACAAATAAGCCCCTAGAGGCAAAATAGTCATTTCTGAAAACTATAGATTCAGGTGCTACCGAGCATACCGCTGGAAGGACAACGAAAAACTAATCAAGATAGACTTAAGAATCGCATGATTCGGAGTCCGGACGAAAGAGAAACGGCATGACGAAGAAAAATGAGCACTTAAAGCAAAAAGGGTAAACTAGTAATTATCTAGGAAGAACCAGGTGCAACCGAGCACACCGTTGGAAAGACCGCGAAAAATTAGTCAAGTTCAAAAACAATTTCACTCGATTTGGAGTCCGGACGAGGGAGAAACGAGGGTTTGAAGTTGAGACGTCGTGGCAGCCCGACGAAGGCCATGGCGCACATGGTGCCCACGCACAAACCCACTGGCGCGCATGCCGGGGCCCAAAGACATGGCTGGTGGTAGCCCTTGGCTGCTGCTACATTTTTTTTTTGATCTGCCCAAAACTGAGGCTTGAAACGGAGGTCAAGACGAGTTTTTCTGGAAAAACACGAAGAAGAAACCCCCCCTAAAATCGAGTTTTCTACCAGACTACACAGACAGAATCGAAAAAAACTCACTGTGAAATCCCCAAAATGCCCCTAGATCAGAACTGAACAAGAGGGTTAAAAGTTGCTACAGTGACTGTCTGCAACTAAGAGCAAAAACGGGCTAGAAGATGAATTTTTCTAGAAAAACACAAAGAAGAAACCCCCCTCAAAATTGAATTTTCTACGTGACACGTGAGAGAATAAAAAAAAACACGCAATATACAATACCCAAAATGCCCCTCCATGAAATCTGGTCATGGAGGTCCAAAAAGCTGCTAAGTTGGAAAACTGAGAGCTGAACTTCGTAAGCGATTTCCAATATCAAGACAACATTTTCTGGAAAAACACGGAAAAGAAACCCCCCCTAAAATCATGTTTTCTATTCCACCAAGTTGAAAGAAGAAAGTAAAACCACCGTGAAAGGTCCATAATGCCCCTAGATCAGAATATGCAAAAAAAATGCGAAATGAATTCACAAGAGGCTCAAAACACAAACGATAAGGTTTTTTTCCAGAAACGACCATGCACGCAAACATAACTTACCTATTTGGACGTGCTACAATGGTCCATGACTTAAATATACTACTGATACAAAATTCGACCCCCCAATGGGCAAAAAGGCAAAAATGGAACTTGGAATGAAAACTCGAAATCCAAAAATACAAAACGGGATCAAATGACCATTTGGCCCTTGGCCACAGTTCAAACAAGATTAATAAGACCCTATAAAAGAATGAAAATGGAATTCCCACACCCGATGCAATCGTGGTGAAGCAATGACTTGCGATTTTTCAAGGTTTTCATAATATTTCATGAAGTTAAAAAGTTGTATAGAATACAATACACATGTCATTGGCCTCCAGCCTCATCTCATACATGTCAAATACATTGAAAGGAGTGCACTTATGTACACATCACATACATGGAATCAAATATACATATTTTGACATATAAGTCTACAAAATGACATTTCATGCTAACATTTGCATGAAATGGAAACTTGAAAGCTACACGACATCCAAGGAATGCTAGGCTTCACAAACCAAGTCTTTGTACCTGAAATATGCCCCAGTATCGTAGGGGTGAGTAACATAAAGGGGTTCATGCCACCTAACGTCTATATCCAAGTGAGACTCGGGAAATATCCTAAGCTACCTTAGAGTCTAAGCAACAAGAATCACGAT